GCCGGGCAACGAGCAGCGCGCTGGGCCTCAGACACCGCTAAACAAACTCACTCACCCGCACCACTCCCCGGCTCCGCGGAAAGCGGCTTTTTGGAGCCTCCTGGTGGTAATTAAAAAGCTGCGAGCCGAGGGCACGCGAAGATCAGTAGCCAGGCTCTAACGGGGAACCGCAGAAGTGATTTGGGGGGCTGGCTTTTCTCGATTTTGGGTTGGTTTTGTTTTTGCCTAGCGTGCGCCCATCTCCTCTGCTAGGATAGAAAGAAAAAAAAAATGGTGGTTTACGCGACAAAACAATACTGTTAACATGCATTGGGTGTGTTATCTATAACCACCTCTTAATCACTCCTGTAGCTGAGTCAGTTGTTCCTAGTCTTGTATTTCTTGCAGCTGATAGTTCCTGTCTAAGAGCTGGAGTCTCTCAGCCTCTGTCTCGTTTGCCTGCCCTAACGATTGTGCTTTTGATAACTAACTGTGTTGTTTCTCGGTCCCCATCTGACTTGCACAATAGCATGCAAGTATGGCATTTTTAAAGGCACTTGTCCAAAAGAATGTCAAAACATCAACTGGTTTCTAAGTGATTCAGATGGTTTTTTGGCCTTTCCTTGAGGTGAGGGAAGGGGAAAATAGGACAAACTGATTTTGATCTACAGAAAGATGTTTATGGGTCAAAAGCTGTAGTTTCTTCTGCTTACGTTATTGGGAGCAGTGATTGCTCACTTGCTTGTTAGAGGTTAATTATTTGATGTTTCTGTGATACCTATGGAGTCTTAATATAGGAGTGTGAGCTCTCATCTTGCTCCACTCTATGCACAGAACAAAAAGCCTCTGCCTGGAGGTACTTCTGGCTTAAGCTAGGAAAGAGGCAATGCATGTGTGTGGGAGTACAGGGAAAGCCAACACTGACCAGCAATTATACTATGGCTTGCTAGTTAGCCTAGAGAAAAAGTGAACTCTCTTGTTCCTGGGCCTTGTGCCAGGAAAGGGTTAGGGATGGATGTGGAAGATAATGGGAAAGCTACAGACTTCAAGCTCTCACTTAGTCTATTTCCTTATCCGGGGTAAGCTCTGGCTGTAATAAACCTTCTCAAAAAGATGCATAGGAACACTGTGGGCATTTAGCATTTCCTTAGGTAACCCATTCAGGGCTTAGCAACATTAATGGTTAAAAGCATTTCCTGCAACTAACCACTGAAAACTGAACTTTAGTGCAGTTAAAAGCCACTTCTGCTTGCTGTGAATGTAGAAGGGAATAAATGTTTGCCTCTTTCTTCACATAATTGATTACTGTTGTCATTTTTTCCTTCCCTCTGTTAAGCCTTTCTTTTTTAAATTTTACCATTTTTCTTTAAACTTCTGGTCGTTCTTGTAGCTCTCTTTAAAGAGAGCCCAGATGTTTCATTTTTTCAAGTGTGGCCCTAAAACCCCAGCCTTTTATCACTACTGCAGCTGAGCTAGTTGTTCCTAGCCTTGTATTTTCATGTGGCTGATAACTTCGAGTTACACTCTACCTTTTCATATTGCTTCTGAAGACTACTTCAAACTTTAGTCTTGCCCTGTTGTACTGTTTGAATAAGGAAGTAGTTGCATAAATGTCTATAGGAGCTGTAATGTATGGAGCAGATGCTTGTCCTTGCATTGAACAAGTATTGATGGGGTCTGGTGTCCTGGGTAAGATGACCTGAGAGTTACAGGGTGAAGCAGGATATACTGGCCTTAAGAGAAGATACAGTCCATAAAGAATATTGCTTAATGTCTGGGTTTGTCTCCTATAGTGTGTCTTACTCTCTTTCTCTTCCTGAATGCAGACACTCATGCCCCCTTACATGCCTATCTTGTTCCCTACTTAATTATGAAACAGGTATTTAATCTGTAATAATTCTGACACTCTGTGATAATTGAAATATTACTATGGTGAAATTAACTTGTAGTTAAATCAGGGAATATTTTTTTGCATGTAGCCTTTTTCAGCTACTTTAATGGCTTCTATTTGTTGGCTCATACATAAATGCTAAAAGGCTGGAAGCATGCTGATCTGAGGTGACTTGAACATTCAGCTTCTCAGTACTAATGGGATTTTTCATCTTAACTGCTAAATGTAGAGTATATGCTTATGGTGACTAGCTTCACGTAGATTTATGAAAGTGTACTGAGAAAAAAAGTATGTTTTAATTAAGTATACAAGCTACTTTTTCTTGTTACTTAGACTTACCATACGTGACTAGTTGGGCAGTTGCTGTGAAAATGATCCTACTGGTAACTACGTAGTGCACTTCGAACCTGAAGTCGGGACGTGCCTTCCTGCAATGTTAACTTGTAGGCAGTGGCCCTGAACTGTGTGTGATGAGAGACTCGCAGGAGTCTCTGGGAGAGGTGTAAGGCAGTGTCAACAAAGGAGGCGCATTGTATGGAGCAGAAAGCATGCACTTGCCCTTTGCATCTTTCTCTGACCAGGAAGAAGACAGGCAGGGAGCACCTTGGTGAGTGTAGGCATGGTACTCCTGTACAGGAGTCCTCTCTTCCCACAGGAGAAGGTGGGAACTGACATTTGCATGGGAAGGAGAATCAAGAGAAAGGTGCTTAGCTTTGAGGAGAGACCTAGGCTTTTTCTGTATGTTTCTAGCTAGGAGGGAACAGTGAACACCAGTGAAGCTGCCTCTCAGGGAAAACTGTTCACTGATACCTCATACTGCACTAAAGAGAGGGGTTTTAATTTGTTCCCTAGGGCTGTTACCTGTTTCTTTGTCATTAAGACTCTTGTCATTTTTTGCAGGTTTTGTATAAACTGTTTACAAGTCATGCCTCTGCGTGTCCTGTACCTAAGCTGATAAAGCATCTATGCACTTTAATCTCAAGTCTATGCCACTCTGCTAGTACAGTGTGAGCTGTGCCTTGAACCTTGGATATAAAGACCTGCCAGCCAAAGTCTTGTTCCTGCCTTAGTAATGTTCCAGAGGTTAAATAACATGCTCATGGGAGAGATTGATAGCTTGTCCAGCCAAGAGCCAGAGTTCAGTGAGAAAGAAGACGATGAGTGGATTCTGGTTGATTTTATAGGTAAGATGTCTGTCAAACATAAGATCTGTTTTTGTCCTGATCTGCCTCTTAGTTGTCTTTCTCCCAAGCTACAAGTTTCTTCACATGGAAGTAACTTTCCCTAAGCAAAATCAGTGTAGATTAGATTATAGGGTGTCTTCCAAATAAATGTACCAAAACATGTTATGTAAACTGATGAGAAAAATGATGTCAGGTTTAGAAGCCTGACACAGGCTTCAACAGAACCACTTGTACAGATAAAATATATTTGACCTATTACGCAATTGTATTGCTTTACTGATAACAGTCGTTTTACGTGTCTGGCATGGTTTATCAGGGACTCCCTTTTCCCCTCCTTTTAATTAAAAAAAAAAAAAGTGTACATGCTAATAAAGGTTTATTTCTGTTTCTCTGTTTTGTCTTTTTTTTTATATTCCATTTTTGGCTACATGCAACCTTGTTGTGTTTGACCACCTGCAATCACCATTTCTCTCCACTGACTAATGGCCACCTACAGCAGATGCTTGCACTACTTGCTCTGTGGAGGAAGCAGACATTGCTGAAGCACCGGCCGCAGACGGCTCGCCCGTTTTCTCTTGTTTACCGTCTCCCTTGGAACGCTTGCCAGAGGCCAATGAATCTTGCTTCATCCAATTTGAGTCGTGTCCCATGGAGGAGAGTTGGTTTATTACCCCTCCCCCATGTTTTACTGCAGGTGGATTAACCACTATCAAAGTGGAAACTAGTCCAATGGAGAACCTCCTAATAGAGCACCCCAGCATGTCTGTGTATGCTGTCCATGATACCTGTCACAGCCTTAATGAGACTGGATGTGGAGATGAGGAGTTTCACAGCCCAGGTAGCCCCAGGTATGGCTGACTTCTCTTGTCAAGGAACTCTGTTGCTGAAAATATCTGGTTTCTACTTGATCAGCGTAGACATTTAATACTGAATTTTCCAGCTTATTTCAGAGCAAGTGAATAAAGCATGAATACTACACAAGGTGGGTAGGGTGGTCAGGGTTGCCTGCCTGCTTAGAAAAATGTTATACAAGATGACCGTGTCAGGAAACAGTTGGGTATGCAATTTTGACGCTTCAATGAATATTTATGGAGCCTAATTATTGCCTTGCAGAATATGCTCCAGTCCTGTTGGAACTGGTGGCGGTTAACTGTATAGCTGGTAACATAGATCTGAAAGCACTTTGCCCCCTTCATAGCTTTTTGCATTTTTCATAACTGTTAGTCAGTACTCTCTGAGTCACCTCATGAGATGAAAAATATTACTTTCATTATCCTGACAAGGAAGTCTGTTTTGGTAGTCTTTGGGGTTTTTTATTCCTCAGCCTAGTGATAGATTAGGGTAGGATTAAACTTTTCCACAAGTGGTTTGTGGAACAAAAGCAAACTGAAATATTCTGCAAAACTTACTTCCCTCAAGGTAAAAATTTGTGTTGCAAACTTCTACTCTTAGCAAGGTAAGAAGTTGTGCTTTTGATTTTGGGCTGTAAAGATCTAGCCATGTGGGATTATTGTAGAGGCATGTTTGCCATGCACTGCTTCAGTGTTAACCAGACAGTATATACAGCTATACAAGTATAGTATACATAGGTGTATACACATAGAGTATTTCTTTGCCGTTATGACTCTGCGCTGACCTGTGTGTTCATTGATTTGGAAATAATGGGGTGTTTTTTGAATCCTGGTTAATAACCAAGACTGACTTTTTGTCCTGTCTGGTGCTTACCGTTAGAAACAATTAAAAAAAAACCCAACAAACAAAAACCTAAACTCATAAGATACTAAGCTTTTGTTATACAGGAAAAAATGAGTGTAGTAGTAGAGTTGATCTAGCTAGATGCCCATTGACTGTTCTCATCAGTTCCTTGTCATATTTAAAGTTCTTAATTCAAAGAAACCGGTGACTTTGCTGCTGTATAACATTGAATTATAGTGCTGGTACCACTAATCTCAGAGTGAGGGATCTGTGTAATTATTTGAGGAGGGCAGTTTGTGATGCTAAGCATCAAGGATCTAGTTTAACTTAAATTGGTGGGAAGCTGTGAACACATAGCACCTTTTAAAAGGAAGGTTTAAAAGAACCTGCAAGAGAACTGTAGGCTGTGAGGCATGACCCGGTGAAAAACAGTAGACCAGTTTAGTAATACAGAGTTGGATACTGACTTCTCAGTGACTTAAACTGGGGATACTGGTATAAATTCTTCTGGAGAATCCTGTCATGTTATGCAGTACAGTTAAGCTGCTTTAATGGGGAAGCTAAAGGTGTGATGATCTTCAACTGTGAAAACTGTGATTAAGTTTCTTCACACTGTATTCTGTGCTGTTGCTTCATCAGAGGATCTAGGCTTTTGTACAGGTTATTTTGTGTGGCAGAAATGGGAGGAGACTTAAGTCTAAGGCTGAGGTAGACTACAGAAACTGGGAATGTCAATTGCACTGAATGCAGTAAGTTTCAAAAGCTGTTTTGAAAGTCTAGTGGTTTAATGGTTGGCCATTTAACATTGTAGGGCCAAGAAAAGCTGCTTAAGGCACACTGGCACAGTAAGTACTACTGTTTGGGGACAATGCTTTTTGTTTGATCAGGCTGCTAGCAACACTGCTTCCTCTAGAGCCTTGTCTGCCAAAACAATACTGGTTTTAGGACTAACCTTTGTGCCAAATCATGTTACTTGATCAAGCCTAACTATGTCTGCTTTAACAAGCCAAAATGCTAAGTGCAGAAAAATTACTTAAATATTAATTGGGGCGGGGTCTGAAGTCTTTAATGTTTCTTTTGAGGTCTGGCTCTATAGCACAACTAGCAGGGCACCTATGCTTTCTAGCAAAATAGATGTTGGGGGCGCAGCAGCAAATGTCTGTAGTGGTGGTCTGGCTTTAGACACAGCCCCTCTGAAATTACCTTTTGACAATATTGATGGAGGCTCATCAGCCGTGTTCTCTCGGTGCCCAGGGCTCACTAGTGCTAGGCTACCAACAGCAGCCACTAAGATACCAAAATGCTATGTTTCTGAAGAGTATGCAGCCTTTTTAGCTAATTGAAACCACCTCTGCTATCCCAGTTTCACTTTGTGACAACAAGTAGAAGAGTGTTCGTTTGCAAACAAGTACTGGAAGGGTATTTGATAAGAGGACAAAAAACGTAAATATCTTCAACCAGCAATTTTAAACCAGTTTTTCTCCTTTTGCGGATTAAAGCTATTTGTTCCTTTTAAATTCTCTTCAAAGCAAAAGGATGTTATATAAACTTTCACCTGTTCATCAGGCTAGTCATATTTTTCCATAACAAACCACAACACTTGTTATTAGCAGTTGATGCCCTTTGCTAGCTAGTGACATGCAGCAAGGGCATCTTAGGAAATACAGGTTCTGATAAGTGTAGTGTGGCTTCCTAGCTCCTTGCAGCTTTCCCCAGAAAAGCTTCACTTGGAGTTCCATCTCCAGCAGCATTGAACATGTTAAAGGATCGCACCATATAGAAAACAGTAGCCCTGTGTTTGCAGGCACCCTCATGTAAATTCTATGCAGATTACACCAGTTTAAAGTGTTTACAAGGCACTGTGAATTGATCTCTGCTGTATTATTTGCTTATTTCTTGCTTTGTATTTCAAGTGCTAGGTTTAGGAAAATATCTAGTGAATAAACAGGAAAGCCAGCATGTCACACAAGGCTATTCTGGAGTCTGTAGGCTTCAATTGGCTGTATCAAGCTACCCAAGGAACCAAAAGCAAGTTGATTTGGATACTTTAAAAAGTAGAAGGGAGGGAGGGAGTATTTCCTTGCTGACAAGGAGTATTCCACTCCAGTGAGGAGTGGGGTGGGAGGCAGGAGAGTTCACATCCATGCCAGGCACCTGCAGCCCCCCAAGAGCAAGGCTACAGGAGCATACCATGGGCATGGTAGTCTAGACTTTGTCTACAGAGACATCATGCAATAAATGGAAGTTAAGCTCTTCCAGAAGAGACTTTATTATAGGGTCATGCTACTGCTGAAAAATAGACTTCCCAAGAGATATCTAGCTCATGCCTGAGCAAGCTCCTAGTCTTGTAGGCATCTTTCCTTGGCACCACTGAGTTGACAGCTTGTCATTGGGTCCTGTGTGGGAAGAGAGAAGGCAGGCAACTCTGGTGCCACTGGTCTCACACCAGCTGTGGCACTCAGATTTGGAATTTGCTTTGCTATTAAAACTACCAGGTTATTTTTAGATTTACTTTGGAAGTTTCAGGAAACACCAGTAATTGTTCTGTCAAGTAGGGAAATCCTCTTTCAATATGTCAGTTGCTTGCCTAGGCTCTGGGTTTGTTTTTCACTAGTGCATGATGGAGTAAGGGTTTGCCAAAACTGCTGACTCTCTGCTTGTAAAATCTGGAGGGCTGGTTGAGGAACAATCCTTAGAAGTTTTCCCATGTGTGTCACAACCGGTCTATCTTTCTCATTCCTTTGCATGAGCATTGTTTGGATTTACTTGTGTAGCCAGCAGTCCAAACACACTGTCATTAGTGTGCTTCTGTTTTCAGGCTGAACCACCTATGTTCAAGGTGATTTTAAACCAAACCTTGCCTAGTGGATAACTCTCAAGTCTTCTAAAGATGGAGCAGTGAGACACACATTGCTTTATATTTCTGACTTATGTTGTATCTTGGGATTAGGGAGGTGGGGTGGGGAAGGAAGGGTGAAATGGTGTAAGGGACACCAAAAGTCCAAAGGCTGTTGTGGTGCCTTCACAATGAGTTATCAGCACTACGTGTTACTTACCAGTGTGCTTTTCCTAAACTGGCTTGACCTTGCCTCAGCCTAAATCTCTGTCCAGCAGAATAAGGGTGCCCTTTTGAAATGCTGGGTGTTGATGTCCATGTTCTGCCCTTTATACTTTGCGTGTCTTCCCAATGCACCTTAGTAATGAATTATATCTGCTTGTTACATTTCTAGACTGGAGGCCCAAAGTGAAACAGGACAGCGTGTTCACTGCTACGTCACAGCTCTTGCTACTCGTTCAACTTTTCTGGAAAAAACCAAGAGCTTTCGTCCTACCCACTGGATAAAAGAACATAATGAAAGACACTATCTCAACAAAAATGGTCTCCGTCGCCAAAACCTTACCAGGGATTGCCACTCTCGGCATATCAAGCACAACGGACTGTTTGTTCACCAGCCTTGCCAGCGTCAGTTCAATTACTGATGGCTCTTGTGGTTTTAATCTAAGGTCTAATTGTTTTTTAGGTTGCTTTTATTTTCATACATAGGTAAGTTTGGTCAATCTGAAGCTGATCGTCAATCCTTCAAACACAATCATAACTAGTGTTGCATTCTTTTGAAATGACACATAAATCTCTGAACATCTTGCAGCAAGTCCTAAATGTTGATGCTAAATATCAATGTCTTGGAAGCCTATCAGTATGATAGTTTGTGTGCTGTTTTATAAACTATGATGTATAGATGGATTCTTAGTTGGTATTTTAAAAAAACTGAGATGGAAATCAGTTACATTTTGCATTAATCAAAGTGGAGTTAGAAAATTTGAGGTTAGCCATATGCTTTAATGACCAGTACTCGACAGCTTTTGTATCTGTCTGTATTCAGCATATATGATTACTTTCTAACAAGGAGATACTGTAGCTGCCGGTGGATATTACATAGCTATGCTGAACTGTTACAAGAAGGACATCTGATCTGAACTGCCTAGTACCTATTTGTGTTAGTGGAATCTGTGTTGGGTACTTAATATGGATGTCAGAAAAGGGTTAAATGTCCCCCCAATATTGTTGCAGTGTGATATGGCACTGGTGTTACAAGTGTAGTACCTCACAGTGGAGTAGAAGGAAAAGTGGACCTATGGGTTAAGTGCAGACACACAACCCAGAGAGCTGAACTGGGTTTTACTTGGTACAGTTCAAGTTCTTACTCCCTTTCTGGAATTCTTTCTCTTTCTGTCTTTGAAAGATCTATTTCCCCCACCCTATTTCATTTAATTTCTCGTCTAGTTAAAGGAAAAAGACGGTGGATCAACCATTCTTTTACTCACATCAGTAGCTGACTGCTCTTTAAATAAGTCAGGCTGATGGATAGCTATTTCTGAGCTGCTGATTGCTATTCGATTGTCTTATATTTACAGATTGAGAATAGCTCAAAAGTAGCTAGAATGAAGGTTTTATTAGAAGTTCTCCTAATTTTCTCTATGAAAATGAAGTCCGAGTTAATTGTGACTGGAAATGAAGGGCTGTGTGTGGCAGGGAGAATGGGATGCTGAAAAACAGTCTTACAGAACTAAACACAGTGATAACAGGGTGTATAAATATTGAGATTGTCAAGTGGTTGTTCTCCTAGCCCATGGTGGGCAGAAGGACTGGATGGTAGTTCCGTGGGCCAACAGGAAAGAAAAGCCATTCAAAACCAACAAGGGTTTTCTTAAGAACACTGTGCAACTTGTTTTGGAAGTTGGCAGGCACTTAGAGGAAAAAAAAAAAGTAAAGCTTACCTGTTAACAAAGAGTGTGTATTACACAGCAACCACATGGCATGCCAAACTCTGATACATCAATCTGGGAAGTAGACTAAATGGCTATGGAGGTGAGGAAGCAGAAATCTGCACTGAAAGAAGAGGGGAAGTAAGTTTTGTCCCCCTTTCTGTCAGTGCTGGATGTGACTTACTGTTTTTCCCTTGTGTTTAGTGCCTAGGGCATTGAAGTGTTAACATGATGTTAAATTATGTCTTCCAGTAGTCCTTATACAGAAGTTAGTGTGAGGACTCTTTCAAATTAGACAAGATCAATAATGAGAATTATTCCCAACCTGTGAAGTATTTTAAATTCAGCCAAATGGCTTCAATTTCACTGAAGAAAAACCCCAACGATTTGGATTGACCCTGATGTAGTGGTACTGTTGCACATTCTGCAGCTGGAATTGTTGTGGAACATACTTAGTGTACAGGAAACAGCATTCATAACCTCTGTTTCGCTGCAGATGTGCTGCCTCACTGGGATTAGTTAGGATTGTTGCAAAGGAATGTTGACAAATAGTTAAGTGTGTAAAAGCAAGAGGTGCTTTCCTGAATATGCTAGGGGTTTTGCTAAGACACATTGAATTCATGTGGACAGTGAAAGAAAACAAAATTGGTCACTTCATGAGTTTCTAAACCAGATCTTGTTATTACTCCTTTCAGTATGTGCCCGTGTCCATACAACAATTCTTTTGTGGTCCAAATACTCTGGTTTATCTGCAATAGCTGTAGTTTCACCAGTCCCTCGTCTGTTTACTCTTACTTGTCTCAGATTATCTACTTTTATCACTCCAACTTTTTGTTTGTCTTAAACTTCCTTCTCCTCACTGCCAACTTTCTAGCTCAGGAAAATTCTTTGCTTTCCTGTATTTTTCTTTATATAAAAGTAACTACTTGTCCTTCAGCTTTAATTTTCTTAAAGTGAAATGAAGGAAGATGGAGCCTCCACCTCCCTGTGTTAGGAGGAGTAAGTAATCCTCTAACTCTTAACGGGGAGATGGAGTTGAGAGCATAAGGCTCCCAGGCATTACAATGAGGGCCTTGGTCTGTTCTTCTCAGTAGGCAAGTAAATGCAACTTTAGACTGCTCCTAGAATTGGGAGATACTGATCTTTTTTATACTACATTACTAGATGACTTTCTGGTGATGAAAACCTATATCTTTCAGGATATAAACTATTTTGTTGCACAAAGCTGTGCTTCTCAATTTGTAATATTGGAAACCATGTTATTGTGTGAGATAGTACTGCATCAATGGCTTTTTGTTAATTTGTTTTAAGTATTTATGTTGGTCTAGCCCTGTTTTATGCCTGGAGCTATTGGGCAATTAGATTTGTTTTGATTTTCTGTTTTAATAGCGAGCTGTGTGGCTTTTTATATGGCTTTTGAATTGTATTAAAGTGTGTTGTTTTTTCTTGTAAAAGTGGAGGCCTTGCACTGTCTCATACTGATCGATATTCATGAATCTTGCTGAAACTGTATTTTCATATGTATTGGTCAATAGACAGATTTGCATTTTAAACTGTGCCTTCTACACAGCAAACTTGAAGATTCAAAAGGGACATTTCAGTTAGGATTAATACTGTACATCAGTCTATGCACATATGGCAGCTTCTCTCCAGAGCCACTTCTCTATTTGTAGCAGCCCTTTTGATATGGAAGAATGTCTGGCTCTTATTTTTAATAGTTCAACACAGGCTGAAAACCGACAAAATACAGCACTTTGCCAAAAAGTAGCATTGCTTAACCAGTGTGTATTTACTAAAGCGATCTTCTGTATTTTGTCTTCATAGCGCGTTCTACGCACCATGGTCTTAACTCTCAATAAAAAAAATGGCTTATTAAAAATTGTCAGTCTGTTCTTTTATATTACAGGTCAGTCAGAATCCAAATGCCTGAGTACTCCGTTCCAAGTGTGGTAGGTACAAATACTGAGTACTTCAGAATGCTTGTTCCAGTACAGAAGTTCCTCTGGGAATCAATCTGCATTGCCAGTCAAGTGACAATGCATGGTTTAAGTAGTGTTATACATCTCTGCCAACTGCTGTGTTTCCTGATCAGCATGCAGCTGTACCATAGATGAACAGGACAGAGATAAAAACATACTACCACTTAAAGCATCCACAGAGTGGGGGGAACGTTTTTCCTTATCTAGGCTGAGCTTCTCTTGCTTCAACTCATACCCATTGCCTATCATCCTCCATGCATGCACACTGACGAAAATCCATATGGAAGGCTGCTCTTAGCATTCAAGAGGTGGAAGTGGGGACAGGTAACCTATGAGGTACACGGAGATCCTGTGCAAATGTCTAGGGATGGGGGTAGGGAAGCCAAGCCATCTGCAGCTGAACCTGTTCAAGGGGTGTGGAGGACAACAGGCCTTCTACAGGTGTATCAGCTGCGAAAGGAAGATCAGAGGAAACATGGGTCCACTGCTAAATGGGGCAGGAGTCCTCATGACCAAGGATGTGAAGAAGGCTGAGGTACTCCGTCTTGTCTTTGCCTTGGTCTCTGCTGGTAAGAGCAGCCCTTAGGAACTGCAGGCCCCTGAGGCCAGTGGGAAAGGCTAGAGTAAGGAATATCAACTCTTGGTTGAGAAGGATCAAGTTAAGAAATGCTTAAAGAGGTGGGACATACACAGACCTGTGGGACACATCCATTGTTGGCAAAGGAGCTGGCTGATGTTACTGTGAAGCTGTTTGCCATTATCTTAAAGGTTATAGCAATGGACAGGGTTCCTGTGGGCTGGAATAAAGCAAATGTCCTTCCTATCTTCAAGAAGGGCAAGAAGAATAGAGGGAACTAAAAGACAGTCAGTCTTACCTTGATGTCTGGAAAGATTCTGGTGAAAATAATCCTGGAAACCATTTCCAAACATGAGTAAGAAAGTGATTAGGAGTAGCCAGAATGGATTTATGCAGGGAAAGCATGCCTGCCAACATGATGGCTTTCTACAATTAAATGACCAGCTCAGTGGATGAAGAGAAAGCAGTGGATGTTGTTTATCTTGACTTTAGCAAGGCTTTTAACACTGTCTCCCATAACATTCTTGCAAACTGATTAATTATGGACCATGTAAGTAGATGGTGAGCAGGTGTGTTGAGAACTGGCTAAACTCCTGTGCTTGAAAGGTGGTGATCAGTGGCATGAAGCATAACCGGAGGCCAGTTGCTGCTGGCGTACCCTATCAATACAGGATCTTACACTGTTTAAAAACCTTCATTAATGACCTGGGTCATGGGGCAGAGTGCACAATCAGCAAGACTGCAGAAGATAGGAGTTGTTTATATACCAGAGGGCTGTGCTGCCATTCAGGAGGACTGTGATGGACTGGAGAAATGGGCTGACAGGAACCTCATGGAGATCAACAAGGGGAAATGTGGAGTCCTGAACCTCCAGGGAGGAAAAATAATTTCAGGCACCAGGCCAACTGGCTGGAAAGCACCTTGGCAGAAGAGGCCCCGGGGATCCTGGTGGACACCAAGTTGACCATGAACCAACAGTGCAACCTTGTGGCCTCAAAAACTAAAAGCTTCCTGGGCTGCATTAGGAAGAGTGTTGCAATCTCGGCATGGAGAGAGGTGATCCTTCTCTTCCACTCTGTGCTGGTGTCCAGTGCTGAGCTCCCCAGTACAAGAGAGACATGGACATGCTGGAGTGTATCTAGCAAGAGATGGGGGAGATTATAATAGTATTGAAGACTGAAATAACAGGGAGAGGCTGAGAGCTGGGATTATTTAGTCTGGAGAAGAAAAGGCTTGGGGGAATCATGTCAAGGTGTATAAACACCAGATGGTGGCAGTAAAGAAGATGGAGTCAGACTCTAGTGGTGACCTGTGAAAGGACAAAAGTCAATGAGTACAAGCTGAAATACAGGAAACCATTTAAATGTAAGAAATGGGATTACTGGTCTTTGGTTGTATTGGCTTTTCCTGAAACTGCGTGTGAATATTTTTTTAATCTCTTCTGGTCATCAGGGATCCTTGATCTCTGGCTTTTCAAAGATCATGGAGAGTGGCCTTGCAAGGACATCAGCCAGCACATTAGATGCAGGCTGCTGGGCTTGATGGACTTGTACGATCTGAGTTGTTGCAAGTAGTCTCTGACTTGATTCTTGTCCACTGAACAAACTGGGTGACAAAATTATATATTTAACTGACAGCGATGAAAAGGAAATTGTGTAACAGAGCATCCATCTTCCCAGAGCAAGCACTGAATAAGACCTTTCCTTTTCAAATGTAGATTTTTGTGAACTGTACATTTATCAAAGCAGCAACTCTTATGTTGAGAGCTGTACAGTATTCTGCAGGAGGAAGTTTGACCAATTATGCCTATATAATTGTATCCATACAGATAACCTGATATAGCTATACTGATAGTGTTCCTCTTGAGGGTGCTTATTCAGACTTATTGCTGCTTTTTAAATTTAGGTTGGACACTTTCCAAAACATCGTGAACTAGTGTTTTTTAAAACTTCTCTGTACCAAAGCAAAAATGTTCATATAAAGGGTTATATCAACGTAACCATATTGACTTAAGTTCTCACTTTACATTCTAGTTTTCCTGTTTATATAAATCCTTGTACATCTTGGATGAAGGTAGTGTATTAATTACTGTTCTCTCTGACGCATAACACTGGTGGAGGCACTCTGTTTCCTCACTGAGTTGTTCAGTATCTGCTTTCTTTGTCATAATGATGACTTCTGGTGCATGTTTATAACCACAGAATGCTGTCATCTCCGTTACTGAGCGATCCTTGCAAAGAGGGTTCAGGCTTTTTGACATACATAGAAATGACTCATGAAAAGAACAGGCCAGTGCTCCTGTGGCACTGTTGTTTCTATGATGTGGTCATGATAAATCAGTCTTAGAATAAATACGACTAAACTGAGACTTAACAAGATGTGTATAAAATTTTTTCTCAGCCAGAATTTTTCTTCATGAAAATACTGTCCTGGGGCTACTGCTGTATAACTAATACTTAAGAAGTTAAAGTCTCTTGACTTGTTCCAAAGTTTTGTGGGCAGATTGATAGTTGAACACTCAAATATCTTAATGAGGCAGATAACTATATTGTAATTTAATGGGCAAGCTAAGAAAAAATAATAATAGCCAAAAAAGAAAACCCAGATAAGAGTAACAAAACTGGGCTAGTGGCCAGGAGTGGTCTGCAGATCTCAACTTACAGATGGGGGCTGTGACATAAGTCTATACTTTGTCCTGAAAGGAGAAAGAAACATTGATGTTTCCAAGCAAGATGACCTAGTCAGGCAATATAATAAGAAATATAATTATCCCCCCAAATCAGTGTCTCTGAATGTTAAGAGTCACAGATTGCTTGGAATGGGTCTCTGGAGAAAATTAATTGAGGCAAAGAGAGGTGGGAGAGGGATGCCTCAGACTTTTTAGGGTATGTGGGTAATGGCCAACAGCTGTCAATTTTTGCAAGGTGAATAAAGAAGATGAGATCACAGTTAAGGAAGCAGGGATTGACATGGGCAGAGGTATCCCTTTGTCTGTTCCCATCACTGAGTTTCAGCTCTAGCTCCTCTGTCTGTGGTGTGAGACTGAGGAAAAGGAGGTGGATGTGTCTTGTCTTAAATAGGGAGGAGAGAGGAATTCGGCTTCTGTGGCCGGTGGCAAACTGCCAAATAGCTGAATTAGTACATACATCTTTATTAACGGTAGACAGTTTGGGGTATTATCTTCTGCACATTACCTTTGCATCATGATGTGCCTTAAACACAGCCAAAGCTGGGGCTATGTAGAATCATAAGTCTTAGTCCCCAAGTGTTGAAAAGGTGTTTGCTACAGTGCTTGAAAGCTGGACCATCATCAGTAGACACTCTTCACCTTGCATGCTTGGGAATGAAAGTTCTGAGCCTAGAGCTCAGCAGCTGTAGGTTTGATAAGGTGAAGTGAGCCATCTGAATGAGACCCACATACACTCCTAGGTCAGAGGCCAAGCTGTGGACAGGAGGGTCTGCCCCTGCAGCCAGCTGCCTGCTTCTCCTGGCAGCAGGGGCAAAGGGTGTCTCCTAACTGCTGCCCACCCTAGGAAGCCATGGTGAGGATAAGTTAATCTATTTTTAAATACTGTACTATTGTCCTGCTTGTGTTCAATGTGGTTCTTTTCTGTGACCTGAGATTCTTTCTTTTCCCCTACCTACACTTATCTCCTGGCCTAAAAGATGTCATGCTTACAGCCCAGTGGCAAAGCAATGCTGGAACACATGAGAAAGGTGTGTTCCTGGGATTTCTTTGAGCTGCAGACAGAAGATACAACAAAGGGGTGGATGAAGATAAACTCAATGTTTGGCTGTTAGTTACAGGTGCTGCTTTCCACTGTAGAGATGCTGTCCTTACTGGGGTGTGACTTTGCTCAGGAGATCAACCATAAGAATTTTACTTTAAAGGTGTTTCACCTTTGATGTGTTGAAAGTGGAAGTTTAAATGTTCATGTACAGGAAAGGATATGGGTCTCTGACAGGACATGGATAAAAGATCTCCCATGTGAATGAAATTTCAGGACAAGATAATGTTTATTGTGGGCTTGTTATTGCTGAGAGAGGTACATCAACTCAAGAAGAAAGAGGCTACCAACAAGAGCCAGAAGGACTCAGTCTGTTGGTTTGTTTTATGACTGCTGGGAAGTGATAGCATCTACTTCTGAATAAGGGTTTAAAAGGTTGGTAACTCTCTGCTCTCCTCCCCACTGTAAAAACATACCTTGAAATAATCAAGTCAAAGAGGAAATCCTTGTATCATGCCATGTTGTAGGTCTGACTCTGCAAATTGTAAGGGAACTTTTAACTTATTTTTGATCTCTACTTGAGTTTTCTTCCTCTATTATAAAAGTAACTCTTAGTACTGGTTGTCTTAAGCTGATCTGATTGTCGTACAGGCTGCTTATCTATAGCTGGTCATTGCCTATGGTCTCCATTGCTGGCATTGACCTTAGAAAGACATATTCACATGCTTAGGACTATAAGGTTTACTCCTTGTTATATTTTAGCTAAAAGGTTCTTAATAACTGTAATATGGGTTCTCTCCCCACCAAATCAGAAAAAAAAAAAAAAAAAGCACCAAAATAAGTCAAACTTGTAAGGTTTAAAAAATGTTCTTTAATGCATGTTAAATTGGATCACGCCTTGTTTGAAAATGTCTCTGAAATGAAACAAGCAGGAAAGTAGGAGAATACTATAGGTTCTAATGGAAAACAAGGGTTTTGAAACCCCAGGGTTTCAAGTTATACCATGCTGTTCAAGAGAAAAAACATTAGAGTTTGTGAAGGGTGCAACTTCCTACTAAAGAATTCTTCTTCAGGAAGGGTATAAAACTTTAATGGTGCTTTGCTTAAGCTGTGTAGCTGGAGCCATTCTGCAATAAATAAGCTTAAAATACCTCTTAAAAACAATAAAGTTCATCCGCACAAGAGTCTTGGAGCAGGCCTTTTCCCTTAACTAAGTTACAGGAGAGCTTTGACTACATGGCTGTGACTCAGAAGGACAAAGCCTAGCAGCACAAATGACTGACTACAGTAAAATATTTGTTGCAACAAGGTAGGAATACAGGGGACAATATTCCATGTTATTTTATGCCTGGATCTCAGTGTAGCCATGTGCAAATGTTTATAATTAAATACTGCTCCCTTCCTTGGGACCAACCAGGTGGATTCAGAAGCTCTGGCAGAAGAGTAGTACTAAGCACACTCAATAACTGGATTATCCTCATGGCTTTTGATGTGTGCTTTATAGATCCCTGGTAGACTCTGGGGTCCTTCAAAGAGATCCATAAAAGGATAACCAAGAAAAGCAACCTCAGCTGTGTAAACTTGTAAGGAAGGCCCTGTAATTCCCACCTTTCCAATGGGGTTCACACCTTCTCTGGAACATATCTAGAAGTGGTAATTAGAAAAAAAAACGCACAAAACAAAACCACACAAAAACCCCTGCTAGACTAATCTAAAAGGACTTATTAGATCCCAGTATAAATACCACTTAGCAATTGTAGTGTATTTCTAGAGGCTTAAAAAAACCCTTCTCTCTTTTACACTCATCCCCCCTAAGGAGGCATCCACGTAATGAAGGAGGATGTACTGTGTGTTAACTCACTTGGAAATGTCCCAGTGTGGAGTCAGTGTAGTTTGATTGCCACATCAAAAGGTCAGCACGTTAGTTTACATTAAAATCATAATTTCATTGTCTGTGGCAGGATTTTATTACACACTAGCTTCTGGAGTTTTTTTCAGTACCGCTGAAAATTTATGGGAGAAGTTGCTGGCAGGGTGGAGAATGCTTATGGGACCTGATGCATTTTCCACTACTGACACAAAACCACAAATATGGTGGCATGCAACCTGCAGCAGCTCACATCAAATGGTGTGGAAAAATGAGCTGTGTAGTCATTAAGGTCTTTCTGCTGAGACCTATTCATGGCAGACCCGATATATTCAATTTTTAGCTACTACTCACCTTGTAGCATTCTCCTTTCATGATCTGCCATTAGATTTATTCCTGATGCACCAAAACTGCTTTGCTGTTTGGGAGCTGGCTGCCACCAAGCCTTCATTTTATGGCTGTGAGGAGTAGAGTTATTTTAGGGAAAAAGATACTTTGTCTCTTCTCTCTTGCTAGCTCCTTCATGAAATGCCAGTTCTTTTTAACAAGTTGGCTATGGTAGGGTTTCAACTTCAGCAATTCGGTTAAAGGCCTGAGGTTAGAGTTAGAACAAGTTTGCCCAAATTCAGAGACCATCTTTCTGTAGCTGGAGGAGTAGGAGATACACTTCCAGACAGCAGGATGTATCTTGCTGGTGGACTTCGGTGGAGATCAACTAACAAAGCTAACTGCACGTCTACTTTAGGCATCCCAAACTACAACATGAGTTAGATTTCTCAAATTGAGATGGTGCAGTATAGAGAGTTGACAAAGATTGTTTCTAAGTGCCAAAGGGATTAAGCAGATGGCGGTGGTTTGTGGGGTTTTTTGCATCCCTTTTGAACATCAACTAGCATGACTGGAACGGGCATTTTGAAGAGCTGAGGAAGCAGGGTGGCTGCAATGTCCATCTCGTGCATGCTGCTTTACTTGAAGTTTACAGGAATCATTGTCCCCACTCCATCAGGTGCTGTAAGCACCCACAGTTGAGACAGCCCTTACTACCCAAAACTTGTGACCTGTTAAACTGCTGTTAGCAACCCTACTGTACTATCTCTGCCTTTGGTGGGCTGTGCTGCCTTTCCTCTTGCCCTTTAAAAAGGCAAATCTATGAGAAGGTAAGTACCGAAATCTGGCTATTGTGCTTGATTACTGTAATATGTATTGGAGGTGAAAACTATGTTTACTCTTTAATTGCGTTACACTTGGGAAAAGAAAAAGCAGAAGTGGAGAAAAAAGAAATGAGGTGGATTTACTTGAAGGCAGCTGCAGCCTCTCTTCGTGTTGTTTTGCAGCATGTGTGCTCTGCAGTGCAAGAGAGGGAAAGTACCCCTTGTTTTTAATCAGCAAAATGACTGCGGGTGCCTTGTGTCAAGGTGAGGACCTGCCTCCACACACAGCCCCTGCCATGGGTGTTTTAAAGAAAACTGTGCACTCAAACCATTGATAGGTACATGGTACTGTGGAGTTCGGTTGCTTTTGCGGTAGTGTGGATTTTTTTTAGGATATCTATCAAGAAAATTCCGTGCAACCCTTGAGTGATGTTGCCAGTGACAGGGAGGTGTGCTTGGCACTGAGGGTGAGCTTCAGCATCATCTCCGGCCAGGGAGGGGGATTGCAGGGTGGGCACTGCTGCCCTGGGACTCACTGGGACCCCGAGGGGCGGTGGCGGGCCTGGCTGGTGGGTGTGGGAAGCTACGGGGCAGGGCACAGGGCCGTCCGTGGGGCGCCATGGAGGCTGTGCTTGGCCCAGGGGGAGGCCTGTTTTCTCCTGGGACCAACTTCTCTGTGCTTAAACTTGCTGCAAAAATGGAGATGCGAAGGCCCGGGCGGGCCCCCTGTGGCAGAGCCCAGGCCCCTCGCAGCAGAGGCGGGTGCCTTCGCGGATCACAGCGGGGCGAAGGCCGTCCGTGCCTGGTGACATGTGCGACAGCCACCGGGCAGACCAGAAAAAGGAGAACAGCAGAGGTTACCATTTTGGGCAACTTGAAAAGCTTAATAATATTGAAAGTTCTCTAGTGCATTTGGAAGGGAGAATCTTTGCTGAGTTAGAGAGTGGGGCAGGAGTAGTAACAGTTTGCTTTAGCTTTAGAGGTGGGTGTGCTGGTCATTGTCAGTGTTTTGATGTGTGTCTCTCTTCTCAGCAGGAGATTAAGAAAAGAGAAGATGGGAAAATTGCTAAAAAACATCAATATGAGATTAAGGTAATTCAATCCTGAATACTGTTTCAGACTAGGTGAGGGAGTCCATCTGGTTTGTGTTGGTGGGTGTGAAGTTGTGCATTCCACACTAGAAAGTATTGAATAGGGAAAGTTTCTAACTTCAGATATTAAAAACTATGGAAGTCAGCACTTCAGCATCTTTTTATATGTTTCCGCTTTTTTATGCATGGCTTTGTTGCAGATAAAGGGTTCTTCAGTGTGGAAACCACTGCAGAGTCAGGTTAGGTGTAAAGATGAGAATAAAACCAGATATTTCAGAATAATTCCATATGCAGAGCAGGTAAAGCCTAGAGGCAAGTCTAAACAAGATCGCTGCACTTGTTTTATCTTAAGGTGTGGTTTAGTTAAGAAGACTTAGAACTATGCAGTCCCTCTTTACTTCCATTTAACTGTTCTTTTGATTATTTAAATCGATTTAGGAATCTGTTTTAACTAACGTAGGCAACCTGTATACCAAGTGAGTTGTTTATTTTGAAGTGGATTAGTAAAATAATGTAACTTTCTCTTGCAAACAATCTTGTTTGCAGCTATTCTGTTTCTAAGGCAAAGGAGACTAACAGCTATGGTGAAGCAAAAATCTTTTGATTGTGAAGCTGCCTTTGCAAACTTTGTGTAGGGAAAAATGCTGTGTCACTACATCAGCTGTATTTGGAGTGAAACTGCCTGTCAGAACTTACCTTTTCTGAAAGGGGGAAATCCCGCTCCCCTGTCTTCCTTAATAGCTGGCCATGCACTCTGTCCCCTGCCTTGCTCCCTTTTGGGTTCTTTTTAAATGAAGAAGTACACAGGTTCAAATTGCTAACTTGGCACTACAAAATAATGTTCTTCCAGGTTAGTGAGTTGAAGCAATGCAACAGAGGGTCTGACAAGCATCAAAGCTGACAAAAGAGGAAGGGGTGAGACTTGGGCAGTGAGGATCACAGGAGACAAGGAGCAGAATCTTTTGTTTTCTTGTAGCTGTGTGCTGTTAAGATGTTACTGCTGGAATATGTAACTTCACTCTTAGGGTACTTTAGTCTGGCTAGAAATAGGTTTAGATATACTAATGAAATCATATGTAGTTTGCCTTGCAAAATGTCTGTATAGGAAAAGTTTCTTTGTTCAGGGGCAGGTGTTGCTGCTATTTGTGAATGGGATCCCCCTCTAGCTCCACAGAGCCATAATTAAAGTTTTGCGTCACCATTTTGAAGGCTGTCAGCCATTACAGCGTTGCATGTGCTCCAATGCATTTGGTATCTCCTTACTTGTACTGGTTATGTACAACTAAGTATTAGTGAAACAAGTTGCAGAGTTCACTAAAGTAGTCTAGAATTCCTACTCTGAAGCTTTTTGCATGAATAACTTTGTGCTCTTCACCTTTTGAGTCGTTGCACCCTATATTTGGCATTGGCAAGCTGAAAGATAGTTCACAGCTGCTGCTTGCTCAGTGAGTATCTAGCTCTGGAGCCGAGATGGGTGGCTCCTCTGAAGTGCTTAATTGGAAGATAACAAGTTGCTGAATTTCCACTGAAGGACAGTAGAACCTCCACCCTCCTTTCTTTTCCCTCTGAATAGATAAGTAGATAGGACCAGCAACCTAATGTCCTGTGTATTAATAGCAATGAGTACCTTTGCCTTATGTACTGTAACTGACTAGCTTGAGCAACGGATAGGTTACTTGTGAGTTCATAAACTGAAGACAGTTGTCTTCCTCAAAGCTGAGTTTCTAAAATTGCTCGAATTTCGTTTATACATGTTCAGTCTTGACTATGAAAGGTTTTTTTTCTTGGTGTCAGTACTTGATGCTGAGGTCCAAAAAGACTAACATACATTACATATATTGTTGTTACTGTAATCTACATCTTGCCTTCCTTGCTCTCATGGTAAAATTGGCATTTAAAAGATACCTTGTTTATGTTGCAGAGTTGTTGGCCGCCCACAATAACAGGAGGCATCTCACCTTGCATAATTATTGAAACTCCTCACAAAGAATCAGTAACCACTGACTTCTCCAGATTCAAAAAGTACAGGTTCAGAAATGTCTTCATAAATCCATCACCTTTGCCAGAACTCAAGTAAGTTTATCAGATGCAGCAGTTGTTGGTATTTTATCAAATATGCTGAACTACTGCAGTTAAATCTGTTGCTGTATGATGTTTGTATAATAGTGGGCAGTACTCAACCCATACCCATACTTGTCTCCTCATCCACAAACAATTTGATGTTGAAAAAAAAGACAGAAATTATGGTGGTTTTTTTTTTTCCCTGATCTTACAAATGTACCAGATGGATAATTTTTGCCTTTCAGAGCTGTCCTTTTATAACTTAACACTGGACACTATAAGTGGTTAAGAGGCACATAATGGTTAAACTCAACTTCTTCCAGAGCTATTGGAACTGAGTGACCAAAAAATGCCAAGCAGAGTTTTCTTTAAGAACTCAAAAATGCACAAATATGCAAATAAACTTGTGGCAGTATTGCTGCACAGGTGGCTTGCTAATGCAATGCAGTATGCTTGGTGCAGTCACAGTTCTAGAAAGTTGTCTTTCTGCAGAGGGATGGATTAGCTGACTAGAATGGATTTTTCAATTTCTGAATTTTTTAGCCTGGTGTGTTAGATGAGTACCCTGGTTGCTGTTTGTATCAGCCTAATGTTTAATGTTAGAGTTCTTAAATTTACTGCAATGCACTAGGGAAAGCTTCTGCTGAGGTGAATGAGAAGAGAAGCAGAACATGAAGCATTACTTTAAGAGAACCTTTCTAGGTACACCATGTTTGTATTTGTTCTAGCCAAAGTTTGATCAGAACATGCTGCATGGTGATGTTTTGCCCCAGTGCAAAACAACAGGTCTGTTACAGTCTGTTTCACTGAGTTTCAAACTCAGCTGCTCTTCTCCCTCAGTATTACTCCCAAGCCTGTAGAACTCTGCTTTAAAGAACAGTATGCTTTTCTCTGTACCTAGCAAATCACAGTTTTGTATGTGTTGAAAGCTTAGTGCAAAGTAGTTTTTTAAAAATAACAATAATTAAAAAAAAAGGATGGTGAATCTCATGCACTCCTTTAGCAAGGTGTTGGAAACTGCTGGATCCCAAAGATATGTTCAGATACAGAATTCCATGCAAGGAGTTTAATCCTTGATGTTCACCTTTTGTCAATAGGTTCACCTCTTTTCAGTCTGGTAAAGCTGAGCTCCATCCTTTCCGATCAACTGAATATGAGGATCATTTACTCTCTCCTGCCTTCTTAATGCTTTCCTAACTGCTGTAGGAAGGTCATAATAGATTTCTCGATGCCTGCCCACTTAAATGGGGAGACTTGTGCATTAAGCAAGTATCTCTCCAGCTTTTAACTTACAATGTCAGCAGAATGGAACTGACCTGGGTTAGAATTTTTAGGTGATAGCAGTGATCAGGTCTGTTTAATCTCTCTCTGCTTCTGCTTGGGGAAAGGTAAATATATAACTCCAAAAATTTCAGTAGGAAATTGGTATTGCATTGATTAACGTGCTGTGCCTCTTAGTAACTGTAGGATGAGAAGCACATCTAAAAAAAAAAAAATTCATAATAATTAACTACAAATGAAAACCAAGCCATATTAATGATATAGGCATCTTCTTCCCAAGTAGGCTTGAGTGCTAATAAATTGTAAGTTAGCAATAAACAAGAACTCAGTTTTTCTCACAGTAGCCTGTTTCTGAGCCTTACAGTACGCTAGAAAGGGAAGGGATGGATGAGTGACTTTTAAACACCAAATGTTTTTGTCAAAATAAACTGGACAACTTTTGTGTATGTTTTGTGTTTCTTGGGGCATGGGGTGGGTGTGTTTTCTTTCTTATGGGGAGGGTTTGGTTTTTATCTTGCTCTCTGGACAGCCACCTAACTAGGTAAAATAGGAAGCTCTGGCTGTATGTGCCACATCAGGATGCACACATTCAGTTTTATCTGCTCTTCTATAAAACTGGACTTGCTGATGATTTTGGCAAGCTGCTGTTGTGGTGATGTTAGAAGTTCAAAGTATACCTGCAGTCTTCTAATTACCATAAGGATCTTTTAGCATGTGCAATTTTTCTTTTTGTTCCTGAATATCTGTAAACAATAAATAATGTTTTTATAATCCTTTTGTAAAGGTGTATATATACTTAACAATGCTTTGTGTAACTTTATTTCATAGCTGGGGAAATTCCAAAGACGTCTGGCTCAACATCCTGAAGAAGGAGAACAGATATGCTCATTGCAAACATTTCACATCACTACATTCTAGTTTGCAACCTCACATGAGATCAATACTGTTAGACTGGCTCTTAGAGGTGTGTTCTTTTAGCTACTTTGCCATGTGTTATGCCTGCGAAGTAGACAGATAAAAGCACAGCTTTTACATGAAGATCTAATAGCAAAATGTATGGCAATGATAAATGCCAAACTAGTTTGCAACAAAAGGGTTACACTGTACTGCTTTTGATCCTCTTGGTGAGCGGTGTTCAGCAGGAGATGCTGAACCTTGCACACAGGGCAGTGAGGAATAGTACTTAATTTTTGCTCTTGCCACACTACTTCATGGGAAGGGGAGAAATCTAGTTTTGAGACACTTCTGAAATTGCTACACACAGATTAATTATGAAGCTTTGATGTTACATCTTAGAATCCATCTAAGCCATGAGACAACTGCATCTGCATTGAGGACTTACCATTCTGGCCTTGTCTACATCAAGCACTCCCAGATGTCAGCCCCTGACACTCTTTTCTGACTTATTAGTGAATTTTTAATTCTATCCTATGAAGACAGCAGAAGAAAGTAGGGCATTAGTGGCTGACATCTTAAGGTTCTTGATATAGACAGGTTCTTATTTGAAAGGCATTACAGATAAATCATATCCATATTCCAGGCTAATTGCTTTACTTCAGACTATTCCAGTTGTCAAACAAAATGGAAGGTCTCAATCTTGGCAGCCTGTGTGAAAGAGTATTAGTGTTGTAAATAAAGAGCTATGTTCTGAAGGAGTTTCCAAGAAATCTTATATAGAGCACATTCAATCACCACTGCCAAAAGCAACATTTGACTCACACAGTCTTTGCCCATCAGCAGAAGGGATCTTGTAGGTTTACCAATTCTGTAACAAGTACTCCAAGGAGCAGATGTTACAGTGGCACTCTTGCTGTCTTGTGGAACAGTGCAAATAGCGGGGGAATTTCAAGGGAAGGGAAAGGAAAGGTTTTGGTTGTTTTTTTAAGGAACACAGTCTGAATATAAAAACTATTCCAGTTGTATACTTTACTGCTTCCTCTAATGTGTAATTTAGATACCACCATTATATTGTTTTGTTGCCTTTTTTTTGAAAAATCTTGAACTCTTAGGAAATCATCCAATTTCCAAACAAAAATGTCAATAAGGGCCTTATTGTCCAGCTCAGTGCTGCTATATGTCACAGTGGATTAAAATCCCAGCAATTTAGAGAGTTCTCCAGTAGCTCCTAACACTGTCTTCTGTAACATCATAACTGAGATACTATTTAACATGGCCAAGCATTATTATGTTTGGGCAATACACTTCTGTAGAAACTGCTGGGTTTGTCTGTACATGTTTAGTTCTGGTTGTGTTTGGAGCAGTAGTTAATCATATCAGAGTAGCACATGAATTGGAAAATATTAGATCAGGTCTAAAAGAATGAGATCTGGTGTTACTGCCAACCAGTTGCATTTTTGATCGTCAGGAACAGTTTTTAATTTGCAAGTGGGCTTTCAGTGTTATTTTAGGAAATAGCTCATAGTAGTGAGATTTTATTCTGTCTCTGTATCCAATGAAGCAGGGCAGGAAACTTGGACTTGGGATTTATTTCTTGGGTATTCTTTCCTGTTGACAGTAGGTAGATTGTAAGTAATTTATAGACAGAGTCGCAAATAAACTGGAGTTGTGGTAGACTGACCCATATTCATTTAGAAATTAGAGAAAAAAGTAGGCCCCTGCCTAAGATCTCCAGTCCTGGGCAGTCTCCTTTCCTTTTTTTGTTGAACTGGCATTTGAACCACTTTGATACAATGCAAGTATTAAAAGTTCTCCCTGCCAGGGAAACCCGCAACTCTATGGAGCAGATGGCCGTTCTTGTGGTTTTGTTCCTGCTTAGCCAGGCTGTCGGTGTGCCTGAGGGGCTGCAGGCAGTGCTCCTGGCTTGCCAGCAGAGCTCCCTCCAGCAGAGGCTTCCAGACTGATTTGATGTAGAGGCAAAGACTTAAAGTTTTTTAGTGGTTCTGCCCCGGGACAGACCTAGTAGGAATATAGGGAGGATCTGCTCAGTGACTTCAGGTGTGAGCCCAGAGTATTCTTAATTGAGTAAACTAGCAGGGTTTTTTGGATGGTTTGTTGTTTTTTCTTCCCCTCCATGAAGCTTTTTTTCTTTCAGTGGAAATTTCTTTGTACTCATTTTTAGGAAAACTGGATGCTATTTAGATTGGAAAAAATGTGCTTTGAAAATATGTTAATTCATCATAGATAATCCATGCTTAGGTGGGAGCACGCAAAATACTTCTTCCAGTCCCATACTAACCACTACATCCTAATACATCTAGGGATGTGATTGTGTGTGCAAAAGATAAAATTGTACCTACTCTGGTTTACTGTTAAAGCATGAATACGCCAGTGTGTGTATGTAGAGTTTTATAACAAAAATCTAAATTTTTTTTTTTCTATTGTAGGTATGTGAGGTGTATGCACTCCACAGGGAAACCTTTTACCTAGCTCAAGACTTTTTTGATAGATTCATGTTGACACAGAAGAACATTAACAAGAGCATGCTTCAGCTCATAGGAATTACCTCATTATTCATTGCCTCCAAACTTGAGGTAAGGAGTTCTGTTACAGGGAGGAGGATATTAAGTTTGGAGTAACTAAAAAGACAGCAATAATATATTTATTACTTCTGTCTGAATCTTTTGAATTTGATGGTGTACATACAACACTGAAGATCAGAAGGGGAATTTTTTTTTCTTCAGTTGTGCATGTGTCAATCTCTTGGAGCGTAGTCTTTGTCCTCCCTTTCCTCAGCAGCAGGGAAGGAGACCACGTAAACTTGAAAGGTATGCAGATGTGTTAGGAGCAGTTTTGTTTTGTCTTTCTCCAAATATACAGGGGTTGGCAAACAGTCTCAGGAATGGGTGCAGGACTTGAAGAAAACCCAGCTGAAGTCTCAAACTGCCTGCTCATCATGCTGATACCCCTATAAATTCGTTTAGTCGAGTTTTTCTTTGAAGGTGAAGTGATGGTGATACATTACATTGTGCACTACATCTGCGAGCCAAAAGCATATTTTGGTATAGTATGTAGCAGGCTAGGCTGAGAGGAAAATTGGGGATATTAAGTTTTTATACTTGGAAACCTCCCGATCTAGTTGTTTCTAAAGCTGAGGTAGTGCGCTGCGAGCAGTTGTCTTTCCAAAGGAAGTATGTGGGGCATTAGGCTGTGGAGCCAGCTGGTAGAAAAGCAGTTCTGCTGGCAAGTTCTCTGTTACTAACACACCGAGCCTATACATGGGCCCAACTGGCATGACTGGGTTGGCAGATTTCTTTGACCATCTCTGTACCATGGATTTTGCCAGGTACAGTGGCTGTGGGATTTTTTCTCACTTTTTTCCTAGCTTTTTGTTGGTTTGTTGTTTTTTTTTTTTTTAATCTATGTGACTACATCAGCACTGACATTGCATGCAACTTGTATCAGCAAGCTATTTCTAACACAGCAGTGTGATGTACAAGAAGTAGGATGGCTTATGTTTTTACATCAAATGGAAGGGCTGAGTAGAAAGTGGTATAAATGAAAGGGTGTTTTGATTGCTTGGTCAGCATTTATTTCCCCAAAAGCTACAAGAGTTGCAATAAATCTGCTATGTTTTACAACAGATAATTTAGTTTCTCCTCATCCTAGAAGTTTCAAGTCACTTTGTATAATGAGAAAAACACTGTTCTGATCTAAGGAATGTTAATATTTCAATATGGATTGAAAAGTATTTGCTAGTATCCTCTCGAGCTTTCTTAGAACTGCAAGGAACTCTAATCTTCACTTTTCTCTCCCCCTTCCTTTACAGGAGATCTATGCTCCTAAAATACAGGAATTTGCTTATGTCACTGATGGTGCTTGCAGCGAAGATGATATTGTAAGAATGGAGCTTATTATGTTAAAGGTAATAACTTTGCTGTAAGTGCTGGCTGCAAGACTGTCCAGCTGAGCCTTGTTACTTTTTTTATGTCATTTACTTGCTTAGAGGAGAAACATGTTTAGTATGTCTCCGTTTCTGCAAAACAATGAACCTTCACTTGTATGTGCAGTGCACCTCTGAAGGCTCTGGCTGGTGTGAAATTCCCGTCTGTTAGAAAAGGACAGGTTTCTCGTGCTCAGAGGAAAGTAAAGGCTCTTAACAGGTACAGCCAGGCACGGGGCAGACAAGCAGTCTGTCACTATAATGTACTGGCTTGCCAGAGTCCTCTGCTGCCCAGGAACAGGGGCCTCTAGGAGAGCCAGGGGAAGAACTGACACTACTCAGTGCTCCTTGTGTTGGAGAGGATCCATCTTTACCATCAGAGCTCCTTAAACATTTATTCTTCCTTAAAAGATCTGGGCTGCAGGTCCCTGAAGGCCTGGGGAAATACTCTTAATTTTCCAGCTTCTGAATGGATAGATACATTAGGTTCTTGCACAGGAACAGCGGTACATGTTTGTGCTGGTGGCAATATAGCCTGTTCAGGAAGTAGTGAGAAAGCAATCTAAAATGAATCTTTGTACTTGAAATTGTATGTGATCTTTAGTGTCTGCTGAGGATCTGTGCAGTAAGCTGAGCAAACTGGGAAGGGGAGGTATGGGAAAAGGGATCAGAACATGAAACTATTCTTGCGTGGTTTAAGGCATGTGACTGTTAATTTGCAGGCTTTAAAATGGGAACTCTGTCCAGTGACGATTGTCTCTTGGCTGAACCTCTATCTTCAAGTGGATGCTCTGAAGGATGTTCCCAGAGTGCTGCTACCTCAGTATTCTCAGGAAAAATTCATTCAAATAGCACAGGTGGGCAGTAAACTGTATCAGAAAACGGGGTTTTGGAGTGATTGCAAACACAACTGAACACTGCACCCCAAAAGCCATTATAGAATGCTTTTCCTTGTTTCACCTCACCTGTTGCTTTGTTAAGGAGTGTGCAAGTTTGTTTCCGCTTAGAGAACTTCATACTCAATTTTGAGGTTAAGCACCCATGTGTTTCTTCTCTCCCTGCTCTCACATATTTTAAGACTTTTCTGTACACTGGAAAAATTAAAATCTGTCTTGTTTTTTTAATCACTATGCACTACAGTGTTTTGTTAACAGTGGCAACAGCTCTGAGAGGAGGGTGGCTAATTTAAGATGCTCTGGACTGTTTTTAACCTGTATTGTCTGTAACAGTGTTTCTGCGTACCTGCCTAGAAAGCAGTCTGAGGAGTGCTTTGATTATTTTGAAACTGCTGTGGTTCAACTTTTATGGGCATCTGTTGTGTCCTGCCTCAGAGAGGCTTACTGAAGAGTAGACTGATCTAAGTCACTGAGCTGCTAGGTTTTCATTTAAGAAAATACTTTCCTGGAGCTCTGTGAAGAGTTTAAAGATGTACTTAAATCTTTGCAAGCCAAGTATCTTGCATATAAAAGTGCAAATTGGTTTGCACTGTAACTCTGAAACACCCATTTCACCTATGTTACAGAGACTGTAGGAGGGCTGCGGGCAGGATTATACTAAAGTATCATCTTGTTGAATTTGTAACTCTTACTTCCTCAGCTCTTAGACCTGTGTATCCTAGATTTGAATTCTTTGGACTTCCAGTATAGAACACTAGCTGCTGCAGCGCTCTGCCACTATACCTCAATTGAAGTAGTTAAGAAAGTGTCAGGTAAGAAGCCTTTGTAAACCTTGGTCATGTTAGGCGGGGAATCCTGGAAGCTCTTACATGACTGAGGCTGCTGAGCATACTAGTTTAATGGCTGCCAAAGAGCAAAAGCTACGTGGACACTAATAATTGGTTCTGTGGATTTGTTCTTCTCCCTCTAATTTAACTCCCTTCCCACCACTATTTCATGTTATAAAAACTCAAAAAAAGGAGGAAACACTTTCAGAAGCATAGTCTTTGCTAAGGAAATGAAGCAGATTTATCTTTTTTCCTTTTGGACTAGTACTGCTCTATGACTTCTAGTTGTTTTGGGGATTGTTAGCTGCACATTATTTGGCTACTTTTTCTCCTAAAATGTAGTTATCAGACAAGGATGACTCTGTGGCAGCAGCGTGCAGTTAACCTTTGTGCTAAATTCCTCCCAGCCTGTCCCTTAAAGTGGGGGAAAAAAAATCACTGAAGCTCACCACTTAGGAGTTGCCTGAGGTACCATAAAGGACTCTGAGAATAGCATATATTTTTATAATGTGACCCAAAATCCTGTGTTCAAGCTGAAAAAGTCACTTCAGCCTCCCCTAGTAAGCAACAGGAATGCTGAGGGCCAGAGTGCTCCTCTGCTCAGGAGGCCTGTTCTCCCCCCTCTGCCACAGCACCTTTAAGTAACAAGCACAAGGAAATACCGGCAGTTTCCGGGAGGATGTTTCTGAATTGTTATCTGTAGTATTATTTATTGTTGTCTTTAAATTTATGACCACACTGGAACACTGTGCAACTCCTCCATGATTTCTAAATACATTACTGTGTTCCATGCTCTAGGCTTAGACTGGGAAAGCATCTCAGAGTGCGTAGAATGGATGGTTCCCTTTGTGCGCGTGGCAAAAAAAGTCCCAGTGAAGCTGAAGAACTTTAAGAAGGTTGCAGCAGAAGATCGACACAATATCCAAACACACACAAATTACTTGGACATGCTGGTAGGTGGTTTGTGGACTTACAGTTCAGGCATTACATACCCCTTCTCCCAAGGCAGCCAAAGGTGGCCAGACACCACCTGCTCGCACCTGGTCTGCTCACCACAATCACTGTGGGAGCTGGTGCTAACCTTTTGTTTCTGGCTCCTGCCTGATGATGCTGTAAACAAAACATGTTTTATCATAACACTCATGCAGGCCCTAAGCGAAGACTTGAATTAGAAATACTGGTGAAGTGTTTAAAAGATAATGATCTTTGCTTTGCCATGTAATATCACCTTGGATTTTTAGTCAGTGTGCTAAATCTGGAGTACTTGAATTGTACTAGCACTGTGAGGAAGTGCTGCTGAATAGCAGTGAAACAGAAAAGTAGAACTCATCCCAGGTATTAACTGTCTCCTCCCTCCCCAATACACAGGAAGAAGTTAACAATGGAGTAACATCTACTGCCCCCGGTCAGTTATCACCTGTGTCAACAGGAGGAATAATAACCCCTCCCAAAAGTACAGAGAAGAAATGAAATCTGGACAACATCCATCATGGACAATTTCAGACACAGAACTTGGTGCTTCGGAACCAGACCCTACTAAAGATGGCTCATGCTCTTTACAAGACCTCGGCAGTAAAGTACACAGCAAACAGCAGCAGCTGGAAAGGGAGACCCTACAGCCTTGATAAGAGTTAGACCAAGCACCCCTTCACCCTCCCACAGGAGCCAGGACTACTTCGGTCCATTCTCAGACACAACTTAGTTTGACTCTGACTGTTCCTAACTTATGAATTTCAAGAACTTTTTAAAAATGGCTGAGTGGCAAAGTTTGTCCACTCAACCTTGCTTTAACTTGGGCTTAGCCATACAGAACTTGTACATATTACCTCTTCTTGTTTTTTTTTTCTCGTCTTGGTAAGGTCAGAGCTTAAGGCCTGTTAGTTAGTCACCCATGAGCTCAGGTGCAGTATTATAGAGGTCAGTGGGTACACAGTTTACTTTTCTGAAACCACTCTGCCCTTGCAGTCCAGGGGCACCAGCTGCAGAGTTCAGGGTGGCCCTTTAGGGGGCTATCACTGACCTCAGGTAAGAGCAGAGGTGCAGGCCTGGCTGCTGAGGGTAGCCCTCACTGGAAGAAGCACAGGCCTGAAGAAAGGAGGGTGATGTTTTATGACCCAGCTACCATCAAGAACAAACAATGAGAACTGGAGAGGGTATGAAAAAAAGTGGGCTGCTGGGTACTCTACAACCATTCACGTCATAGGAACAGCATTCTAAATGAAGCTGTATTTTATCAGTGTTTATAAACAGCATTAACTACTGTGTTTTCCTTGGAATATTCACTACCTCTGAATCACTTCTGTGATGAAGGGACAGTACTGGGACAGGTGGGTATCAGTCCTCCTCCCTCTCTCAAGATGCTCCTACCTGTGCCCCACATCCAGGGACAGGTTTTATGTGACACTGAGCAGCCCCTGGAGCTGCATTAGAACAGCAAGTGCCTCCCCCATCCACATCAAACTCTCGCTAACTTAGCAAACTTGAATCTATGTCTTCAAACAAGCCATTGTGGAACCTTCTGTACAGTTTGTAAAAATAAGGGTTTTATAAGATTTCATCTATTTCTAAAAAGAAAAATACTAGACTGTAAATGTTGTATAAAAATTTAAAAGAATTTTAAAAAAATAAGAGTCTTGAGTTTTTTCACTTCCATCCATTTTATAATAGTCCTCCATCATTAGATTAGAAGTACAGTTTTGCCATTGCTTGAAGAAACTTCTTTTTTCTTCTCTGTGCAGCAAGCTGTAGGACTTCCTCAGGATTACTGGCATTCAGCTCTGTCTGGCCAATGGCTTTTATCTTGAAGCAAAGGAAGAGAGATCCCTAGTGACAGTCCTTTGGGTAACACTGCTTCACTGCGTGGCGCTTTCAGCACCATGTCAGGGGGTGGTTTATTTCTGTAACAGGCTCTGCCACCCCACCCCTAAACCAGCAACTTCCCATCAGCACCCAGACTAAGAACTAAGACATTAAGAAATTACACAATGAAATTAAAACTGGAAGGGACCATTCTTCTCAAAGATGGTTTCAGGGAAAGAGAAACACACACTAAGGAAACCCCATAATCCCCAAGCACCCCCTAACTTACTGCTATCTGCCGCTTGTCAGTCTCGCCTCTTTTGTGATGGAGATCTGAGGGTGAGTCAAGAAAAGAGACTTGGATGGGAAAGGGACTTTTTCCAGCCATGACCATCCAGTATGGGCTTTCCATAGTGTTATTCTACTAAAAGGATACATGTCAAATACTCTAAGATGGTGACATCCCAGATGTACTCGTAGTAAGAATCCATGGCATCATGGCTGGAAGAGTACAGGTTAGGTTATCTAACACACTCACATACTGGGCATGTGTATTTATAAACTTTAACATTTACCTGTTTTGTTCCTGCAGTGCCTTAAACGCAGTTTTGTAGTCTACTTCTCTGAGGAACTGGCATAAAATCGCTACCTGTAAGGGAAGACTCACAGGTGGCTGACAGCCTTAATTCCTCACAAACTGAAATCTTCCACGGCACACCTCAGTAATCACACCCTAATCAAGTGCTCATTTCCATAGCAACCAAGTCCTGAGCACCTCTGTTTAAAAGCATACACAAAGTTATCAACCGCAGCAGTCAAGGAAAGGAAGAAACAGGGACCTAGCAGAAGCCTTGTTACTTCTTGGGGAATGAACAATCCCAGTGAAACAACACTGGCCACATGCAGTTCCAAAGAACAAGGCCAGGTTCCCAACACCACCCCACAGATTCTCTACCCTTTCTCAACGCTAAAAAAAAAAAAAAAAGCCCTATTTCTACATTTTACAATGTTTCCAACTGTATGTGTATTTACTCATTAATTTCAGTCCTTGTAGTGTTCTAAAGCAACAGTAACAAGATTTACTCTACTGCAGACTGCGTTTACAACAGAAGTTGGATTCAGTTTTACTTTTTAGAAGGTTCTCCCCTCCCCTTTTAATATAAAAATATTTATAAAGGAATGTTTTATTTATTGCCATGTTTCATCTCTTACCTGGGTGTGACAGTTGAGTAAAGAACAACACTTGATCATTCTTTTTATCACCTACAGAATGGTTAAAACACAAATAACAAGTTTTGAGCTGCTAGTACTGGGACACAAACAGCAGTTATTTGTTATTTTTTAAATACAAGGGACCCAGCGAAGTAGCTATGGACATATACTGACAACCCCCAACAATTCCTGGGTTTTAGCACATCCGCTGACCAGCTGAGCTTACTCAGGAGACTTCCCCAGGGCATGGTGCATGCTACAGAACAGAGCACAGTGTTCCTGTAAGAGGCAGGTCAGGGCCTGTTACAAAGCTTCACCACTGCCTCCTGCTGCCCACAGAAAGGGCTGGACACGGGTGAGAACAGCACCTTGAGTGGGCTCCCACCCAAGAGCTCCCCCACCCAAGGTGGACATGTGCCAGCGAGTGGCAGAGCTGCCGTGTGAGAGCACGTGGGGCCCAGTGGCACTCCTGCATCAGTGGAGACCAGCCCCAGGCACAGCTCAGAGTGGCCAGGAGTGATCTGGATCCCACCGTCTAAAGCTCTCGCCTGGCCTATGAACGGGAACATGGAAGGAGCAGCAATCGGACAAGGGATGTAAATAACCTCCTTCCCTGGGCCTAGACAGTTCCTTCCTATCACCTGCTGAAACGCAGTCTACAAGTAACACAGCAGTTTCCTAATGAACAGGACAAATGCCCGGATAAAGGGTTACAGTGACTGTGGCTGGGACTGAAGATTCCACCCCACACACAGTTTTTAAGAGGTTCTCACTCACAGCCCACTAGCAAGTGACAAGGCACCTGTTACGGCAACTTGTAAAGTATAGGGGTACAGCACCATGCCTCCAGCAGGCTCAGGCAGCACAGGTTACCACCCCGCCCATCTCCACACAACCTTGCACAGTGCTGCGATGCAGCTCTGCTCACTGTCAGAGTCTGGGAAAAAAAATAACTGCCTGTGTGTGTGAAAAGGAATCAATGTTGTCTGGATCTCACTCCTAACACAATCCACACTCCCACCCCTCAACCTGTGTTAGCTACAGTAGACAATATTTTAGGAGTGTTTAAACAACACACTTATGTTAGTCTGCACTATGGGTGGAAGCAAGCAGGCTCCACTCATGCGATACCAGCACCAGAAGCACAGTGGGAGCCAGATGTTTCCACTGGCCAGAGGCTCAGACCCACGCTCCAGCACAGCTGGCGAAGCAGAGCGAGCATGGCCGCACTGCCCTGCCCCGCACAACACTGCGGCCCCACAGGGACCAGCTGGGGATCGCCATGCCACATGGTGATGCCTGTGCTCTTGGCTCTTCCCTTTGTCACTACCGCACAGGAGCACAGTACCACTGCTGTCTCAGCTGGCAGCTCCACACCTTCAGACTGCGAACTAACGGAAAAGCCACCTGGGCTTCAGATTTCCTACAGCCTTCAAGCAACAAGCAAAGAAAAATGGATCTATGATGATTCATATCCCTAAATCCATCAAGATATAAAATCTCATAGGATACAGGCATGTGTGCATGTTGAACAGTTTTGTCTTTATATAGGATTAGGGGGCTTACTGAACCCAAAGAGTTATTTTTGTTCGTCTTAATCCCATTGTAAACTCACCTGGTCTGTGTACACATCTGGTGGTACCATCTTATTAAAGAAGTCTGAGCATACAGCTCCTGCCTGTAGGTAATAGTGAAGGGCTGCTGAATACTGATTCGTTGCTGCAGTGGACAAAAGCAAAATAAGGTCTTAAAAGTAAACACAGCAGCTATTTCTAAGACTCCTATCAATTGTTTATAGAATTACTCAGATACATGTATCTCATAGCTGAATTGTACTGGGAAAGTGACTTCCATATCATTGTTTAAAAAGCAGAGACACACAGAAGGTGGTAAAACAGTGATAGAAAGCTACAGTTAGGAAGACTAGCAACAGAGGCAAAGTTCTGCCTTTTGAGAATTGCTGCTTGCTTTTCAGATATTTGATCTTAAATCCATCAACCTTGGAGTGCAAAAGAAGTTTGCCTTCATTGAATTTAGCACATGGGTGGTAGTGAATGAGTTCAGTTGGCGTGAGTTAGAGAGGGCCAGCTGATGCCACCACACACACCTCAGGGTTCAGCACTAGTTCTACGCCCAGTGAGTTCTAACTGAAGCGATGTGAAGACAGCCTCCAGCGGCTCTGCGGCGAGAGCAGTCTGCTTGTCCACGCCGCTGCTGAAATACAGACCTGATGCGAGCCAGGAGTGCTCCAACCATTGCTCTTCCAGGTACCGGTCTCTGAGAATCCCTACATAAACGTCCTCCGTCTCGGATGCTGTTCCACTTTGTACAAGCAGTAAATACTGCCAGTTTATAACCCTGAATCACTCTCCCATCTGTAAGGTGACAGTGCTAAATTACGACCCCTCCCCTCACCCCAAGGGTTATAAAGCATCTTCTAGACAAAATTTGTCTCCTTTGGAAGCAACAGGCTAGGATTTCTGCACTACATCTTACTGCACACCACAGACATCCTTCCAGTCCAAAGAAGAGATCTGGAAATTTGCACCTTGCCTCCTGCCAAAGCACCAGCAAGTAGATGGCAGAGGCACAGCACATACCTTGTCTTATTGTCAGAAGAGAACCATCTGCCACAAGTGCTAAATTTCACTAGAGTGGTCTCAACAGATAATCTGAATGGAAGAAAAGCCTTGAGGGTGGCTATGGCTATGGCCATGTCCTTCTCTAGCACATGCACAGGGCAGTACCGTACTTGTCTGGCTATCCTCTGAAAGCTCATTCTTCAGCACCTGCCTCTCTGCACTCTATTCACACTGAAGCCCCAGGAACTGACTCTAGACTGGGGAGCTTAACAAAGCACATTGTCACATAGGCTGGGCAGGATTTCTCCAGGCAGCCACTGCCCTGGTGCAGTCTGGGTGCATGTTATGGTGCCCGCCTGGAATCTGAAATGCTTCCTGTCC